CTCCATCCTGTCTGGACTCTCTTCTTCACCTCTTTACCACACTCCTCATGTTCTTGGACAGTTGACCCCAAGTACTTGAAGTCCTGCACCTTTGTGACCTCTGCTCCTTGTAGCCTCACTGTTCCACCAGCCTCCCTCTCAACAGTACAGGATTATCAGCATAAATACATTATTGTACATATGGGAGGGAACAAATACACTGACAAAGACCAAAGGTTAATTTACTTTGACATTGTTCTCAAAGTGCTAACATCTTGACAGTAAACACAACTTATATCTGTAATGTCTTCTAGCTCAATTTCGAACATTTCCAAAGAAAGTTGGTGTCAGATCTTGTATTGAGCTGACAGTTTACCTTTTGAACCCTAACATTTGACTGAGACACATAAAACTAGTGCAATTTCTATTATAACTGTATTTTCTCTTCCATATCTTTCCATTCATGTGTCACTCAGCTGTCTGGATGTTTCATGTTCAGTGATCTATCCATGTGTCTATTAGCAGAGGAAATGGGCTGTGAAGATGTTGGAATGTGTCTGTGTGTGCTCTTAAAGGTAGCTGCTGTGAATTTGTCCAGAAATGTGGTCTTACTTCACCCACATATGACTTTGTTCAGTTTGGATCACACAGGTCGTCTGTGAATTTCTGAAGACCCAACAAGTGAACACAAATGCTGCCAGAATCTGTGTGTGTGTGTGTGTGTGTGTGTGTGTGTGTGTGTGTGTGTGTGTGTGTGTGTGTGTGAGAGAGAGTGTGTGTGTGTGTGTGTGTGGGGGGGGGTCCAATTTATAGCTACCTTTACAATCAGTCACAGCAAACTGGGCCTTTATATGGGTTTAAGCTTAACAAAAGAATACATGTATATCTTTGTTAAGTCAAATCTATTTCAGACACTTAACCTCAGATTACAACAAAATATCAATTTGATCCCGTTCAACTAATCAGGCAAGATAAACCAAACTTAAAAAAAAAAATTGGTTTGGAAATGTACAGCAGCAATTAGGAGAGAAGACTATAAACGAGGAATGCTGGTACAATTAGTGGAATGGTTTAGTGAGGTCTTCAGATTGTCTGTGCCAAGGACTGCCATGGCCCTAATGGAGAACTGAGAAGAAAACTTGTCTATCTAGAGGAAGTAGAAGCTGCCTTCTAATCTATTGATCTGATGAAAGCTCCTGTGCAGAGTATGCCCTCCTATCACCTAGGTAACTTCTCTCCCGTTCAACGACAAATTGCATTATTGATGCAGGTCATGCCACGAGTAGCCCCTGAATCAGACTCTACCCATGACTACCCACCAAACATGGTTCTGTGTGTCCCTGACCACTTCCATCTTAAATCACAACATCATGGCGACCTGCGCTGCAGAATCAATGAGGTCTGACGAGCCGTGCTGGTAAGTTTAGTGTGAAGCAAGGTGTGCCAATGACTTACAGTCTACTGTGGTGTGATGGTTACTCTGTTGATTTTGTCTGAGAAGAATATCTACACAAACAACAATGCACACTATCAGCAAATATTATAACTAAACATGAGGCTGGAAGCCATAATGGTTGAGCGCCTCCTCGTAGGTTAGTTTTTTAAGCATGATGAAATTATTTATTTGAGGCTTTAAAAAAGTGACTTGTTACATTAAAAGACTGTTTGTGAAGATTTGTTTTTTGCTGAGCAATAAATGGGAATTAGAAATATTCTCCGTCTGTCTGTCCATCAGTGTATGTTGGGAGCACGATAACTTGAAAAATAAGTGAGGTACTGACCAGTGACGTGTGGTGAGCTTTGCAACAGGTGAGACACTGACTGTCTGGAATCAATGCTCACATATATGAACCCAAAATAGAAGCTTATATTTCAATTTAACCTTTTTTTTTTCCTTGATCTATCTAATACCTTCTGTTTCGACTGAAAATCCAGTTTAGAAAAATCCTTTAGTTTTGAGATATGATCTTCCATTTTGTCTAAATAAATTTAAATGAGTGGACTGATTGCTTCACCCTGCCCCTCTGTGTAACAGAAGAATGCACAGGGACTCCACCTGAGGGGCAGCACTGCCCCCTATCGGTGCGGCAAGGTATATTCTGCCTCACCCTGTGTATTTTCACTGTGCATATATGACCGATTAGAAAGAAGAAATATGTCACACACATTCATTCAATATATTAGACAGACTGTAGAACATCAGCATGTGCAGCACATGTGCAATCAAACATGAATAATGGCGATATAAAGAGACAGCAATGGGCATGCTCCAACCGCCTTCTTCATATATTGTATATGACACAGCACCCCCAGAGGTGAACCAGAGCACTACACTGCCTCACCCGGCATTTCTTCCACATTTGAACAGGCGATGTGTATATTCCGCAATTTTGACCATTGAAGTGTTGAAATAATTCAGAAAACAGTTTTATAGAACAGTCAAGGTCAAGATCAAGGTTCTTTATTTGTCATTCAAATCATATGTGGTACATGTGGTGGAACAAAATTGTGTACACAGGGTTCCAGTTACATCCAACGAAAGTATAAATTGTACAAGAAAAATAGTAATAAGATCTAAGATATGAACTAAGAAATATGCTAAACACCTAATAGTGCCAAAACAGCAGCACGAACATGAGTCTGTGTGAGCAGATGAGTACGAATGAACACAGAAGCATGAAATAAAGTCAAGTGGTCAAATATATTTTCTCTTATCATTGTTAGTATATTACTTGTCATGATCACAGGTGCGGCGCTGCCACACCTGCCTGCACGTCACTGGTACTGACCTCCATTTTAGTTTGTAGCTGCATCTATGTGTAAGAAAGGTTCCTTTTGAAAATTGGGTTGCCATGTCAAAATCCAAGTTGGATTCAGTTTAGATCCTGCTCCTTAGTCTGTAGACGCCCACTCTCGTCTGTCCGTCCGTCTGTTCGACAGACAGACAGAGACACACACACACACAGACATGCTCATATATATATACATACCTGCACCCCCCCCCCCCCCCCACCCAATTATAGGAGGATCTGTAGTGGAAGTGGTCTCCAGCTACAAGTACTTGGGTGTGCACCTGAAAACCTCTGCTGGGGCGACAACATTACCAGCCTGATCAAGAAAGCTCATCAGAGACTCTACTGGACTGGGAAGCTCAGTCCTCACCTCCTCACCTTCTACAGGTGTGCAATGGAGAGCATCCTGTGCTCCAGCATCAACGTGTGGCATGGAGGCTGCACAGCTGCAGAAAGAAAAGCTCTGTAGAGAGTGGTGAAGGCTGCACAGAAGTCTGTTGGAGTCAGTCTCCCCACCATCACAGACATCTACATCTCCAGAGGCAGGAAGAGGGCCCCCTGCATCATGAAGGACCCCACTCACCCAGCACACACACATTTTGCCCTGCTCCCCTCAGGCAGGAAGTTGAGGAGCATTATGTGTAGAACCACTAGGCTGAGGAACAGCTTCTACCCTGAAGCTGTTAAGACTCATGAATCCCTAACCAGGAAAATCAATGTGGAAAAAAAAAAAATCACTGTAATGCCACTTGATTATTGATATGTGCTGCTGACTATCCATGCTGCTGATCTCATGCTGCTGATTTATTTCATGCTGCTGTGTTCATTCATACTCATCTGCTCACACAGACACGTTTGTGCTGCTGTTGTTCGGCATATTGTTTTTTTACTACTAGTCCTTAGTTATTCTTAGTTTAGGCTATTATCTTAGATTTTATATCATTTTTCTTTTACAATGTATACTATTGTTGGATGTAACGGAGACCCTGTGTACACAATTTCATTCCGTCACATGTATCACAGGAGATGCTAATGACAATAAAGAACCTTGACTTGACTTAAAGAACCTTGAACCTGCATATATACTGTATGGTGTTGCACAACAGCTTTTAGTTATTAAAACTTTAAGTTTTATTTGAGCTCCTTGTGTGGTCTGTATTCTTGTGTCTAATCTACTGGAACCTGACACTGTTAGCAATTTATTATGGTATGTAGGTGAGACTAATAATTAGTTATGATGACATCATTGCATGAACTCCGTAGGAGGACCAGTCGTGAAAATAAATGTCAAAACATGTAGTACATTAGCTGTAGAAGCATCAGAAGTTATTGCTCATCATTTTAAAGACAAATAGCAGTTTTTAAATTCATAAAGAAACTAAAGACCCAGAATAATCTTCACTATAAATGTATTTTGAAAGATACGATGCAGTTTACTGAGCTTTGTTTGACAGATTATTGTAATTCTAGTACCAAATAAAATCACTGAGCTGGTAAAAAAATAAGTAATTTTGTCTTTGTGTGACAGAGATTATGATACTTTCCTTCAAAACATAACCTGTTATCTTTCCACACACATTTAGGTACATAAACATGGCAGCGCTTGAAGCACATCATCAGTGTACATGTGTTTGTTGGCCTTGGCAGAACTACCACCGCACAGATCTGCTCATGTGAAACAACTAAACGAAATTCTTTCCCATTTCTCTTTTTGTCCACCCTTTGAAACAAATACGACGTCTGTGGATGAGCTTTAAAAAGACGTTTCTCCTGGACCGCTTTGAGGAGGGTTGACTCAGAGATTCAACGTGAAGATGCGATGATATCAGTTAATTGTTTCTGGTGTGGTTCTGCTCAGCACGGGTCTTCCCTGCTTCACTGCAGACAGAAGCCTTTCGACGTGGGTGGGATCAGATGTGTATCGCTGCGACGAGTGTGTGTGTGAAGTTGCAGTGACACAAGACACACAGCCTCCTTGTCTGTCTGTGTGTTTATTGCATTACATTGATTCATTTTATTCAAACTGACTTCAATTGAGCAGTAAAGAGAGTTATAGAGCGCTTATTGCTCTAAATGAGTTTATAACGAGTTTTTAGTACCTCCCTGAATGATATGAGTTTGGCTCACTCAGATGCCTGAAGTACCAAGAGTATTAGTAGGACTTACAAAGTACAATTAAAGAAATAGAAAAAGGGAAAATGTCTCACTCTGTTATGTCATGTGACTGACCTCATTGTGTAGAGAAGCGTCCCATTGTCCACTAGTCGTAGCAGTTTGTTTGGAGTTGTCATGTTGTGGGCCACAGATTTCTTTCCATTGTGGAAGAATGTATCAGGAGTCCAGATCTTACTGGCCAGGAGGTTGTTAAGGGGTAGGACCTGCATTGGACCATCAAACTTAAGCCTCTCATCCCTCCAACTTTGACGAAAGAAGACGTCGATGGTGTACTCCTATAGAGAAGGGTTTGAATGAAAACATTTACAGACTTGATATATTTTTTTTACATGAAAATGCAGGAAAACACACACACACACACACACACAGGCCTTATCAAATATATAAATGAAAGCTAAATTTAATGTGAAGCTGAACAAAGAATAGGATCTTTTTGGAATGGTTGTTAGACTCATAAATCCCTAACCAAAAAAATCATTGTAATGACACTTTAGAGATTTGACACTTTACCTGTGCTGCTGATTAGCCATGCTGCTGATTTTTTTTTTACCCATAAGCTGCTGTATTCATACCCATCTGCTCACAACAGACTCATGTTCAGGCTGCTGTTTAATACACCATATTATATTACATTATTATTGTTTAGCATATATCTTAGGTCCTTGTAAACCGTTTCTTTTTTATACTTTATATTATTGCTATTTTGGGTGCAACTGGGATCTTGAGTACACAATTTTGTTCCACCTTATGTACCACATGCGATGCAAATGACAATAAACTCGAAATTTATATTTACAGATAAAAACATATTTAAAAGAACATTTTTTGGCGTATGTCTAAATGATTTGTAGCTATGGTGTTAACTACATGAACCGGTTTTCAGTTAGCCATTGCTATTGATAAGAACCAAGCAGGTGTTTTTTTCAGATAAAACACTTAACATAAAAGAAAAATCAATACTACATGTATTCTACTGTATAGCCAATAGTATGCATACAATTAACAATCATTGACAAAAAAAAACAAACAAAAAAAAAAAAACGACCAAGCGCCCAGTATGAATGTTCCAATTTGGATGTAATTTGGTACAGATGCAGATGTGTGTGAACTCTAAATCAGTTGATTAACAATGCAGCTTTACATCCAGAATGAGAATAAGCACTGCCATCACAAGATAGTGTTAAAACTTACTGGTCACTCTGCCTCATTGTCTACTTATAGGTTTACGCTACAGATTGCTCTTTAATTATTCAGTTTCTTTGCCGTTACTTTAATGATTTATCACCCACCCCCAAAGACAAGCATGTCAAAAAAAAAAATGGTTAGACTTTCAGAAAGTAATCATTGGCTGTGTATTTTAAACTCATTAGCTTTTTGGAGTCAACACCATTCAAGAAGGTGCTAACCAACCTGAGCCAAGACTGAAATGGCTAGAGCTTAATTGAAATTTACATATATTGAGCCAAAAAAAAAAACGAGGTGTGGTAGTACCTGAAAGTTGTCCCCAACACAGTTAACAAATGAGACTTGGAGTCAATGTCAATTATAAGGTTTGACCAAAATGAACAACTCCATAAGATGATCTTAGTTCAAAACTTGCTAAACAAGTTTTGTTGCATTTTGGAACAATAACAATAAAGTACCTCTTATTCTTGTCCCCTATCACAGAGAAAAAGGGGGAATAGGAAAACCTGTCCGTCTGTCTGCCCATTCATGTTGTGAGCGCAATAACTTGAAAAATAAATGAGGTGCTAACTTCCATTTTGGTGTGTGGCTTCATCTAGGTGTAAGAATGGTTCAGTTTGACAATTATTATAACTTTATTAACCTTTATTAACCACGCATGTCTTATTGAGATCACTGATCTCTTTTGCAAGGGAGGCCTGGGCCTGAAGGCAGCCTAACATGCATGTTTTTGTGGGAGGAAACTGGAGTACCCGGAGAAAACCCACACAAACACAAGGAGACCATGCAAACTCCACACAGATAGAATGAACGCCAGAAGAAAATGGGGATGCCACTTCAAATCCAAGATGGCCACCACTGCAATATATAAACTGGCTACTCCCATTATCTGAGGAAACTATGCTTTTTAGTTTTAATAAAGCTGAAAATTATAGTTTCCTTAAATGACTGGGGTGGCTGAGAATTAATCTAAGGTGGCTAAGGCCACCACTGGTCACCCTCTGGCTCCGCCATTGCACCTGGTGGTGGATAAAACTTTTCTTTTTACTTGCCCAGGATCCGTCACTCTACGCTGCTTCAGACAAGAAAAATAAATAAATAAAACAACCTGTTTCTCTACACAGTGCAACTCCTACCCACTTGTATATCTTGCACCCAAAACATGAAGTCCAAAAAAATCTCATCTTGAAAACTACAAACATTCACTATTCAAATTCTTCGGCGATGGGGGAGATCAATACTGCTTGTTTAATTCTAACTCATCAGGCAGTTGCTGGAGCATTCAGCAGTCAGTGAAAACAGTGGGTGGAGGTCAGCAGACATGGAGACACAGATGCTTTAGACAGCATAACCAGCACTAGTTTTAGGTTCACATGGATTGCATTGCATGCATGATACGTGAAAACTAGTATGTTAAATCAAATCAAATTTATTTATAAAGCACATATAAAAACAGCAGTTGTTACCAAAGTGCTTAACAATGAAAATCAATTTAACACAAATCAATAAAATATTAAATCGAATCACAATGGGGCAAAACTAAATGAAAACAGGTGTGTTTTAAAAAGAGATTTAAAAACAGGAAGTGAAGTGGCCTGTCTAATGTAAGGGGGCAGATTGTTCCAAAGTTTAGGGGCTACGACTGAAAAAGCCTGATCTCCTCTGAGCTACAGCCTGGATTTTGGTACAACAAAAAGCAGCAGGTCAGATGATCTCAGCGCCCGAGAAGGAACACCAGAAGTAGACCAGAGAAGTATGAAGGTGCAAAGCCCAGGATAATTTTTAAATCTATTCTGATACATACAGGGAGCCAGTGAAGGGAGGACAAAACTGGTGATATATGCTGAAAACTACAAATTTCTGTTAAGATGAGCTGCAGCATTTTGGATGAGCTGGAGACATGAAATGGACACCTGACTGACCCCAACATAAAGTGCGTTACAGTAACCTAGTTGGGTTGTAGGGAAGGCATGGACTGTTTTTCCAAGGTCAGGTCTGGTCAACGTATGTGTGGTGTGCAGACGTCCCAATGGTCCAGTGTTAGAATCAGCAGCTACATCAGAACACCAACACACATCTTGAAGATTTTGGTCACCCAATACAGACCCCACTAAGGGAGGATCATCATATCGCAATACATGTACTTGAACTTTCAATGTTCTCTGTCTGGAAGCTTAACCTTTTTAGTCGTAAAGAATGTGTAAGATTTTTTTTGAAGGTGCGCCTTGGAAAATGTTGTTCAGCGTTGTGTTGATCCAACTCCTGACATGACATTCTGTTTGAAATGAAGCCTGCATCACCCACACATGAAGCACCCAACAATGAACTGACAAATGTGCATCAACCATCAAAATGCACGTGCTTCATTTTTTTTCTTGATGCACAACTAATTACCTCAGTGTTGTCGCCAGCATGAATAATTAAATCAAACAATTGCAGGAAGTATCCAGTCACTATGAATCTATTTAATTTTTAATTACATAGGAGTTGGTGCCTTATCAACAACCTATCCCACCAGCTGTGTGCAGCAGCTGCGAATCAATCGTTTCCCAAGAACAACATGGAAAGAAGCCATCTCTGTCTCATGCAACAGGACATGTTATTGATCAATAAAAGAACAACGTTCTTACTCTAATTAGCTCTTTGTGCTTTTTACTCAGTGCAGCAATAAACTGTGCACCAGCTGACGGTAACTGGTTACTCCCAGAGTGAAAATCCAATAAATTAATTTCTCAATGGCTTCACCAACAGGAAGTAATCACGCTCAGCAGGAGAGGTGCAGTGATTTCACTTGACGCATTAACAGGCCTCCTCTAAACAACGCAGGGTGAACGTCTGTTAATTGATTTGATTGACCTCCTGATGGCACGAAAACCTACAGTGTTCTAAAACCGACTGCGTCGCTGCTAACAGAGGCACGTCTAATAAAGTCCACAGAGAATTTTACCGCACAGACAAACGTGAGGAACGAGACACAAACGCACGCTTTGCTCAGCCACCTCCATTTTTTACATCTAATTGTAGCCTCAGTTCAAACGTCTCAGAAGCACACAAACAAACCCACACAACTAATAAAAGCGAGCTCAAGTGGTTCATGTCCTTTACATCAGTGGCATCATGAGGCTGGACTGAGAAGGAGGTGAGGACTGAGCTTCCCAGTCTCTCACGAGGCTGGACTGGGAAGCTCAGTCCTCACCTCCTTCTACAGGTGTGCAGTGGAGAGCATCCTGTGCTCCAGCATCAACGTGTGGCATGGAGGCTGCACAGCTGCAGAAAGAAAAGCTTTGCAGAGAGTGGTGAAGGCTGCACAGAAGATGTTGGAGTCAGTATCCCCACCATCAAAGACATTTACACCTCCAGATGCAAGAAGAGGGCAACCTACATCAAGTAGGACCCCACTCACCCAGCACACACACTTTTTGCTCCACTCCCCTCATGCATGAGGTTGAGGAGTGTTAAGTGTAGAACCACTAGACTGAAGAACAGCTTCTACCCTGAAGCTGTTAGACTAATAAACCCTTAACCAGGAAAATCGTAATGCCACTTTAATTGGAGATAATGTCACTTTGCACTAATGATTATCCATGCTGCTGATTTCTTGACTTTAAGCTGCTGTTTTTATACCCATTTGCTCACAACAGACTCATGTTCAGGCTGTTGTTTAATATATTGTATTGTTATTACATTATTAGTTTTTTTTTTTCCCCTTGTCCTGTCCGGCATTGTGACACTTAGAATTATTGTCCGAGTGTCAAAGTGATGCCCAACAGATTTACTTTCACAAGCAAAGCATTATGGCTGGCCTTAATGCTCCACTTGATATATAAATTATATTTTATTAGAATATGTTTTGGGTTTGTTTCAGATGTAATGGACATGGGGATGAAAAACAAAGAAGATAAAGCAGAGAAGTGAGAGAAGGGTTAAAAGGTAAAGAAAGAGATAGGAATAGAGGAGAGAGAGAGAGAGGGATAAAGAGAACACAAATCAACATCATTGAAGTCTGCCTCTAGACCTAGGAAAGAAAAGACAAAACCGAGAAACCACAATAACAAACAACATATATAATGATACTTATAACATCATTAGA